GAGAATTCAAGATTATACCATGGAAACCAACTACAAGGGCCATATCTTTAGCTCACATGTTCAAGTAATGCGCAACAAAATCCAGTGAACACTTGTAATCCATTGTGAAGGCCATTATCTCTATTCAAGACTTCAGGTGTATAGGTCTATTTCCGGGTATAAAGGCCTTCAGTTTCATTTTCTGAGGTGCCTGAATTGAAGCACCAGTGTATTCTGCTGGTGGAATTTGGATAATTTAAAAGCATATATACTCCCTCCCTAGCTATTTTCCTTTTCAGGAAAGAGAAATGAAGAACGAAAAATGAAGGCAACCTCATCTAAGTTCAAGTAAAATGAATGCTGTCAGAGAAATTTTTTGTAGGGCTAACGAAAATGTCTGTGGCTAGTAACAGAAGCAAATAGCAGGGCACAAGCGAATATTTCAAAACCTCACAATCAAAATCATCCGTTCGCAAAAGAAAGAAGAAATGTAAAACATATAATGAAGGCAATATAAGGAATGATAGGTGAACCAACAAAGCCTTTCTCCACGCTTCTGATTTATCCATTGATGGCAAAGAAGGTGTGCAACTATCACAACAGCAAAACTGAACTCATTTGCACTGAACACCAGCTTCAGCAGCTCGGTGAGGCTTGTTTTTCCGCCTACTCCCATTTTGTCGGAATCCAACAGACTTTGTCGAGTCATCAAGACTTGATTTTGTTTCAACGTTTTTATCCTCTTTGACTGATTTTATATTTTCTTTGACCTGAGCAGACCTCTTCCTTTTCCTTCCATTCTCAATGGCAGATTGGTTTTTCATGTCTTTGCTAGAAACATAAATTTTTGCATCCTCAACATCTTCTGTCTTCTGAGCTTCTTCTCCTTCTCCAATATCTTCCTTTAATGGTTTATGTGGCCTTCCTCTTCTCCTGTTTGGTGGAATCCTCTCCTCTTCACCACTTCCAGGATCCTCACGAACAGCAATAACGCTTTGTTTCTTCCCTTTACCTCTACCTCTACCCATAGTAAATAAACCTCGTGAAGAAAATTCCAAACTAGAAAAATTTCTGCAAATACAAACAAATGATCTTAGAAGCAAAACTCAAAATGAGTAACAGACTAAACTCCACTAATCAGCGTGCAAAGTTTATAATACAGAATACCAGTATTAAGGTATCCACAAGCAGAAGAGGATTAAAGCAAATCCATATCAACCTCCAATGACACAATTATTAATGAAACCAGTTTATATATATAGTTGAGCTAAAATTGAGACCTTTAAGGAACGGGAAAATCCTAAACCTTACCTCAAAAAGGTACTACATAGTACACAAAAAATCAGAAAGTTAAAAATCAATCATGACTGCCTCTTTAATTCCTTACACTGTCTTTGGTTGATGAGAAATTCAATTGAGAAGAAAGAAAAATGCAGGCTCGAACCCTTCCCCCCTATCATTTCAAATACCCAAAAACAAAAATGCATCTTTGCTGCTGGCAACAGATTCTATTATCTAGTGCCTCTGACTTAACTAATTCAAGCATTCATCAAGCCAGTCCAGAGAGTTTGAAAGGAACATAAATGGAAACACTAAAAAATGGTAATAAAGTATCACAAACCAGCTATACCCTTTGTAAACTATATTCAACCTGAACAAGGTATTTATTAAAATTTGCAGATAAAGGGCAATCACTTTTGGATCAAACACCACTCTGGCTTCACTTTAATCCAAATCAGTAATTTCAAATTTGGCTGCTAAAACTTTGCAAGAAAGAATATTAAAAAAAAATTGTTATATTTGAAACTTAAGACTTGAGATGTTTCCAGATTATGAAGCACTAACTCAAACCAAACACGATAATTAGTCTCGTTGAAGTAACTCACTTTGATTTTTCAGGTCCGAAACAGAGAGAAATCCAGGATTGACAAAAGTAATTTATTTTCTTTGTCTACCATTAATCTTCACAAAACAAAAAACAGAAGCACTCATATTAGAAAACCAAAGCGTGACAAAGTACATATGCAACATAGAGAAGAGCGAAGCAAAGAAGAATGAAGCTGACCTGAAAGCAAATATCCACTTTCTGCATCTTATTGGCAAAACCCATTTCTCGCAATCTGATAAGAGCAATCAAGAAACTAAAAAAAACCCAAGAACCAAATAGGCTGCTTTCTATTACTGGCTTTTCCAACAGTGAAGTAGCAGAAGCCAAAAGAAATTGAAAACAAGGATCTGAATAACAAGTTAAGAAGACGCAGATCAGATAATCATGTCATCAAAGAGAAACGTTAGCACAAATATTATTGGAGCCTGAACAGATTAATCAAAAGCAATACTGAGCTTTTGA